ACAAAGTCCAAGAGTAGCCAACACAGGAATTGTTTACAACTCAGACGACCTGTGCCTTTGTATGAGACAAAGTCTCTGAAGAGGAAAAGACCCCAAATATCATAGAAAGTCGAAGTCAACCTCAGTCCATCTTTTCTTCCACCCCTACCTTACCCTTGGGCTTCAAACAGGTGGATAAGACGCAAAATATTCCTCCCTGACAATGTAGTTTAACGGAAAAAACAAGACTCCCAAATGCAACTGGAAGATGGTTGGTCATCCACTCCATTTCAGAGTAAAAATAGTAAATAGAAAGTCACTCATGAGTAAGACAAAAAGAAATGGAAGGTAAGGGAGGAAGGGAGGGAGGAGAGGCTGGGGAGCTCATTCCATCTAGTCCACCTAGAAGAAAACATAGGTCAGAGAACAAGAAAAAAAATGTTTCATATTATATAATAAGTTAATAGGAACATTAATCCAATAAATAAAATCTTGTGTCACCATCATCAAGGGACTGCCTCTTAACTGCAGTCTTTTCTTTTTAATCTTTTCTCTTGAGACAAAAACATGTCATTTGCAAATCTTTGACTTAATAGGCTAAACCATTTCTATGTATTTGCTGCTCTTTGCACATCTTCCCTATTAATATTTTAGTCCAGATTTTTGTCCATTCTTCAATTGAACACTGTTCTTTCATTTTGTTTTTAAGTGCTTTTTTTATTGGTGATATTTCATGCTATTAATAAATTTATTTCAAAAATTGGTTTATGATTCAAGTACTGACTGAGTGAAGCTTGATGAACTTGAACTCAGTGTGCTTTTTAAATTAAGGTGGCAACATGATATACCATTTAAAGATACGAGATTTGCCAAGACCTGGGTTCAAATTCTTGCAGGGTATAACCCACTAGCCAAAGTTAGGATTAGTATTATCACATTACAAGATTGTTAAGAAAATAATTGGGAAGATATATCTAAATCATTTAGAACAATGTCTGGAACAAAAGGAGTACCCAGCAAAGGGTAGCAATTATTATAATTACCATATTTGATCTAGTTTCTGTGATATCTTTTTGATCACAATAATATTACTGATGCTTGCAATAAAGCCATTTCAAAACCTGTAAGAAGAGTTCGCACTCTTGCTCTGCCTGCCCTGTTTGGTTGGATCCTGCTTCTTGGTCAGAGAGCGTCTATGCTTGGGGAACGAAGCCGCCTCCCCGTGCCGCTGAGCCAGGTCCCAATGGGAATATGAGAATTTAAATTCATTCACTGTCAACCTTCCAGAATGGAGTGGGATGATTTCACTCACTACTAACATTTCTTCGTCCACTACTATCTTAGCCAAACCTAGAGTCCATTCCCTGAACTTCAAAGAGAGAAGGAAGTGGCGGGCAATACCTCTCCTCTTTGGTAAAGTGACTGAAATCTGTTTGTTTCAGTTCTGTTGCAGCTGCTCCCACCTACTGCATCCTTCCAGTTGATGCGCTTTTCCTCATAGCAGATGTTGCAGGCTACTGATGAATGTGAAGAACTAAGAGATGCTCCCATGCATCAGCCTTTGCCGGTGAGTCTACTACACCAGCTTGTTGTTGGAGAAGCACTATGAGCTTTGTAGAGAGATTTTCGCTTGAGATGTCAAAACTCTGAAAAGCTCATACTTTCCTCTTCAGTGCACCAGCCATCGTATCGCTATTGGATGTACTTAATGAAATGTCTGTGAATAGCCCTCGAAAGGTATTTTTGTCTTCCATTTATTATTTAAAAAAGCTCTGCTTCGTGTACTGGGCAGTTATCTAGAAATGAACTCCTTTTTAAGAAATATCTCATTGAAAATACCATCTGGTACTTAAAAACTGGGGATGCAAAGAATAATCAGTTCGATTGCCCTCTATTTGCATTTCTATAACCTGTAATTCCTCAGCTATCTTAAATGTATGTTTTGGTAGGGTTATCTCATTGGTTTTTATTTAGCTGGACTTTTTTTTTTTTTGAGCAACTATTACTTGCCAGGCACTGTGCTGGAAAGAGTGGATATAAAGATTATTTCTGTCTTAGTGACAGACAGATGACTTTGGAGACAAGACAATAAATACATGAAAAGGAACCTATCAATTTAAGAAATATATGTTAAATGTCAAATGAGAGTTACAACCACTGGGGGAAAAAGTCCCACAGTATTGAATTGTAGTACTTGTGAAACAGCACACTCCTGACTTAAATCTCAGCAAAATTACAGTTTTCGGGAATAAGCTCAACGGATACAGTCTTAGTAATTATAACAGAAAGACACAGGCTGGAAAATATTGAGATAGTGTAGCTTCTTGGAACTTCTGAATTTCCTTAGGTTTATGATAATTTGTTCTCTTTAGGATATGATCCTGCCAGGTCCCTGGGAGCTCCAAGTGGAAGCTAACAATTCTGTTATAACCACACCATCCTGAAGTTATTTTATTTCCTTTTATGGTTGTACATTGCCTTTACAAAGCCATGTATTTGGATTTAGCATTAGGGGGCTGGGTATAATTTCCTAGTAGGTCACAATGCCACCTAAGTAACCTTGTATACAAGTTACGGAAGAGTAAGTCGCATCACTCACTTGCAGTGGGCTACAACTATCTAACAGTCACTAGCCTGAGGGCATGTACTGTGACCTCCAAAGTCCAGAAGGGTCTGACCACATGAACCAATGCTTTATAGGTACAGGGAAGAGGACTGGTGTTGAAAAGACATTAGCCTTGGGCTGGAACTCGAAATAAAGGTAAAATGTTGTAAGTGCATGCCGGGAGGCAGGCATCCCATTTGTCCTGTTCGCCAAAGAATCCCTAACACTTTAATTCCCTGACAAAGTCAGCACAGCTTTGAAATCTATTGTCAGTTTTGATCTAATTGAATCAAATCTAAACAACCATGTTAACAAGCGCCATGGAATTAAACAGTGGTAACATCTTAAATACAAGAAAGTACATAAACAAAGCCCCACAGATTTACCACCTTATTTCTCTTTGGGCCTTAATAAAGTAACTCTTTAAAACAGTGAAATTGTGTCAATATACAAAATAGTTTATGATAGAGAACTCAAAATTTTAGGTCTTGAGATTTTTTAAATTGTGAAATTTGAGCAATAATCCATCTGATTGAGAAAATTTTGATCTCATCTAAAGTCTGCTCAAGTTTTCATTCACTTGTAAACTTTTCAGTTCTGAGACCCCAGTTTCACTTCCTTTCGCTGAGCACAATGCCATGTAAGTGTAGTTATAAAAATTTTTGATAAGGAAAATTATCTAGACATTTAAAGTGCAAAATTATCAAGCAATATTATAAAAATCTAATTTCCCAAATATTCAATTGCTTTGTATCTCTGTTCTGTGAAAGCTGAAGTCTATTATTCTGAGTTCTGAATTTGATATATAATGAAATTGGATATGAGTTTTAAATGAATGTGTTAGACATTTTTATTAAAATCCTCAAATTGTCACCTGAATTGAGAATTTATGGGCAAGCATAAAATTAAATTTAAAACAACAGTTCTGGGGTGGGATATTGTGATGTTACATATATTTGCCAGGTATATTTGGTCTTCATCCATAGTTACTGAAAACCCTGCAGAGTTTCAAAGGTGAAACAGGCGTTTTGTTATGTTAATGAGTAACTTCTGGACTCCCACTCAAGGGTAGGGGCTGAAGGTTGAATCAGCTGACGGCCAATAATTCAGTCCTTCATGACTATGCAATGAAGCCTTTTCAAAACCTGTGGGAAGACCTCGCTCTCTTACTCTGCCTGCTCTGTTCGGTTGGATCCTGCCTCTTGGTCAGAGAGTGTCTATGCTTGGGGACCGAGGATGCCTCCCCGTGCGGCTGAGCCAGGCCCCAAGCTCCACGAGGACAGACGCTCCTTTATTTGGGACCTTGCCCTGTGTATCTCTTCCTCTGGCCATTAACTTGTGCCCTTTGTGGTATCCTTTGTTAAACTGGTAAACATTAAGTGTTTTCCTGAGTTCTGTGAGCGGCTCTTGCAAATTAATCGAACCCAAGGGGGAGGTTGTGGGAACCTCCAATCTGTAGGGGGTAGGTCAGAGGCACGAGGAACTGCCTGGGGCTGGTGACCAGTGTCTGGAGTGGGAGATTGGAGGACAGTCTTTTAGGACGGAGCCCTTAACCTGGGAATCTGGTGGTGTCTCCGGGCAGATAGCATCAGAATTGAGTCCTCCAACACCCTGCTGGTGTTTGAGAATTGCTTGGTGCCTGTGTGAGAAGACCCCTTCCCACAGATACTTAGACATGGTGGAATTGGGTCCAGGCACCTGAATGAAGTTTTACTACTATTACTGCTGTGTATAACATTGTTACTGTTATATATATATGTAGGGAAGAAATATACCATTTCATTTGGTGTCAGAGATATTGCAGTTAGGAAAGGCGCTTTTATGTCACTTGCCTTTTGGCATCCCGTGGGAATTATAATATCTATTCCAGAGATTATTTCATTTCCAATAGACTAACACACATTTTCTATCTATGATTTCTGGTATGGATATGATTTCTTAGTAAACATCTTCATTTTTCCTTCAGGCACTACCTATATAGTGGAGAAGATAAATGCAAATTTTTCATTTTCATGGAGAAAAAAACCTACAGAAGTTACAAATTGGGAGACTTTCCCTCTGGTTCAGACCATTCTAAAAACTTGAAGGATACTTATATATGCCCATCCCTTAATTTTACCCATAGGTACAATTAAATATTAAAATACCGAAAACAAGAATGTAGGTCACAGATCAGAAGTAGGTATTCTGTGAACCTGAAATGAACTTTGGATCCTTTTTCTCCTTCCAACGATACAACTCCTGTTAATTGTCCACAACCCCTGCACTCAGTATCCTCCCTGGAGAAACACCACCACCCCTCTGCTGCCCCACCCTCCAGACACACAAATCCACACAGGAAAGCAGCCAAGATTCTGTATATATGTTTATTTATAAAATCCACATTTCTTAGCTTAGAGACGCTTACATTCTATAGATTTTTTTTTTTCTCCCTTAGAATATTTAGACTGGTCAGGAATCAGGGAAAATGTCCTTGGATGGTAGTCATACTAACATTTTACTTAATGCTTATGAAAGCATCCACATGCCAAATTCCTATGATAGATTTTGGCATGAAGTATAATCACCACATTTGGTTTCAAAGTTCAAATGTCAGTTATGATTGTAGATAAGTACATAGCCCCAGAGCAGGGCAGGACAGTTATTGTAGCTGTGATAGAAAAAAGTGAAAGGGGGCTAACAGCCTCTCCTGGAGGAGCAGGTGGTCTCAGCTCCAACCACGTCTGTCTAATCTCCTTAAACAGGGCCAGGCCAGCTGGCCTATCCATCCTTTCTACATATCTGCTTATCTTGCTGGAACCTGAGCATGCACCTTCTTCCCCCTACCACTTGTCCTCTTTTCTCTGATACTTGGAAATATTTTTAAGTTCCACCTGGCTCTTTGCTCTGCTATGAATAAAGTGACTTAGTTATGAAACTGTGTCTCCTTTAGCTAAGTGCAGATAAGAAGGTAAGGCAGTTACTTACCTCATTGTATGAAGTACTGATCAAAGCATGACAGCAATATTGGGGATACAAACCCCCAGAAAAGGTTTTGCTTTGCATTTCAAAAGCAAAGAATAGCCTTTATTGAAGAAAGTAATATAAAGGTGTTTCCATATATAGTCACATGAATTTACCATTCAAATTTGGGAAGTGAAGACGTCATATTTTTAAGTTGATGAAATAGTAAAAGGAGGGGGTCTCTTTGAAGACAAAGAAAGTTCAGTGCATGATAGCAACTGAAGAAAAGAGCTACATGGGAACCGATGAGGATGGCTTTTGCTTTCAAGAGTCAGCTAGCAATTACAGTCTGATATTTCCTTTAAGAAAGGAGATTATAACAAAGCAAGAAATATGGTATCATTGTATTTCATAAGTTGGTCACAGTGACACTTACAGAAATATCAGAAGTAGCAGTGAGAGAATGCCAAAAACGTATCCATCCAAGGGATGTTAGAACTTGCTTTGTATTCCTGGTGTCTGGCAAAGGGGAGAGGCAGCTATCCATTTAATTAAGATCTGTTAAAATGCTTTACTTAGAGGAATCACGTGTCTGTATGTGTTTTGAAGAAGACAGAAAAATCAAAGAGACCTGTCTACAAAGTAGATCTTCTGCCAAATGCAGATGGGAAGGTTGGATGTTATATATGAAACAAACGTAGGAAGATTTTGAAAGGTAGCGAGAAGGCAGACAAGCTAGGGATGCCAGGACCCAAGGAACAACACTGTGAGGAGTTCCTGAGGTTGCTTTTCAGTTCATATACCCCAGATTTGGAGCTGAAGCTGGAAACCCAGCAACACTGACAGGTGCAGATGGAGAAAAAGCCCCACAAAGGCCTGCTCTCTCCCCAGCCCAGAACCAGAAGGGCAGTAGCCCAGAGAGAAAACAAGAACTGCTCCACCTCAGCAAACACCACAGAAAATACAATAGCCCCACTCACACCAGCGAAGGTCAGGTGGGAGCCAGGACTTCTGGCCTTGATAGGCTGCAGTGAGGTGCCCTAACTTCCTGCCAGGGTGGTGCCAGAGAAGGCTGACTAGGGAACTGGGATTTCATCTCCACCTGGTCATAATAAGGCCTTGCCCCCACTCCTGTCCATAGTGTCAGTGGAAAGCATGTGGAAGTAGTAAAAAGGCACCCTGAACTCCTAGCCACAGAAGCCTCACAGACGCCTGGTGAAGAGTTGAATTCCCACCCTGCCTGGCAGCAAGGAGGGTACCCTATCATCCCAAGTGTAAATGGAAGCTGAGTGGAGAACATGAAGTCCTAGCCACACATGGCACTACCCAGGCAGTGCCCACAGTTCTCCTGCCAGGGTGATGCCAGATGCTAGAGAAATTCAGCTAAAATGGGTTTAAGTAAGATCCACAGCCACCTAACATAATACCAAAAATATCCAGGTTTCAAATGAAAATCCCTCAGCATACCAAGAACCAGGAAAATCTTTTTGAATGAAAAAAAAAAGACAACAGTGCCAATGTTGAGATGACACAGATCATCTCAACATTGGCATTATTTGAAAAGGATTTTATAGGAGCCATCATAAAATTGCTTCAATGAACAATTATGAACATGCTTGAACTAAAAAAAGAGAAAGCAGCAGCAAAGAGATAAAAATTCTCAGCAAACAAAATAAAGATATAAAAAACTACCAAATGGAAATTTTAGAAGTAAAAAATACAATAACTGAAATATAAAAGCCAATGGATGGGCTCAAGAGCAGACGGATTAGACAGAGGAAGTAATCAGTGAATTTAAAGACAGAACAGAAATTACCCAATCTGAACAACAGAGAGAAAATAGACAAAAAAAAATATATGAACCTTCAGGGACTTACGGGACTAAAATAAAAACTAATGAGACTTTCTAAATCATTAAATTATTCTCTGGCGCAAACCACATTATCTAAAGGTCATTGTGGTCCCAAGGCTGTTGAAGAATAACTATCAAATGGTCAAATGGAGGATAAATATACAACTTTGGTATACTAATATGACACCGAAATCAGACCCAGGTAGTCTAACAGCAAAGGTTGCTTTTGAAGGTCCACAGGACGGGACTAAAGGATATAGCCTGTGCAGTGGGAAAAACAGGTTAAATTATCACAACCACCTTAAAGATACGAAGGGTTCTTTTCAAATCTATGGAACTTCAAAATGAACAGCTTAGCTCACTCTACTCTGGTAGGGTCATTTTTGTGCACAGAGGAAAACATTCCTACCATCTCAAAAAATGCCACCTTGCATGTGTTGACAAGTTCTTTGAAGTTTTGCCAAGATAAAACACATTTTGAGCAGTCTAAAATAAGCACTTTAAGAGGTATTTTCAACCTATGTTAATAATTATCAGTGAGCAGGATGGAGATTTTTTTGTACAAATATAGAATAAAATTTTATAACAGGTAGATACTCTCAATTCACATATCTGTCAAATTTTAGCTTGTTAGAGCCATTAAACACAAACAACTAAGTCACAATATAAAAAAATACAGGATTGCATAATTTGGCTTCTGAGGGGGGATGTATAGAATATAGAAATAGGGACACAAATATTTTTGCTTCCATCCATTTTTTTGATTAAAAATAAATGCAACTCCCAGTTAAAAAGAATACAGTTACTTAAATTCTTATTTACATACTAATGTAATGTGGACTATTCCAATCCTATCCATTAGTTTGGTGTTTGCCAGCTCCATAAAAGCTTAAAACTGATAATAAGATTCAAATATCTGGTGTCCAGACAATGTTCACAGGTACTTCTGTCCTTCAGAGAAGTAGAAGAGCAGTTTTAGGTATGGTGTATCTTTATTCCCCACATTGGAACAATTCTTACACATTCAAACATGTGCGAGACAACTACTGCTATACGGAGGCCACAAGTTTCCCTGAGATGGTCATATCACAGAAGATTCCCGGCTCTAACTCTGGTTGACAGTTTCTGAACAATGCAATAGTGTGAACAAAAAGAACTGTATAAAAGAGAAGGTTCTTTCAAAAAGATGTATGGTACATTTTTGGAATAAAAAATATCAGTCTTCTTGGTGAAAGGTTGGCAAATGTGTTTTCAATTTTAAAATGTCTGAAACTGGCTCCTTTCTTTCTTGATAGAAGCTGAGTCCAGTAATGTGTTCAATATCTGTGATCCGAGCTCTGTGTAACCTCAACAGCTCTTCAACCCATGAGGATCCATGCTTCCAATGCTATGAGGGCGGGAAACAGAGAAGAGTCACTGGAGATCAGTCAGTTCACTTTCCCGGCAAGCTCTCTCTCACTGCACCATTTGAATCAGCTGTACACCTTGACTCCCAAATAGTAGATACCACAAGGTGCTCCTGAGTTGCTCCCATCGAATATACACCATGAATGTTTCTTTAATTAGATGTGTCAAATTTGGGAAAAGAAGAGTACACTTGGCACAGATGCACATGTATTGCGTTCATGTAAGAAACGTCCATGCTAGGGGGTTAAAAAATTTTGGAAAACAGAAGCACCATGGCGTGGTAGAAAGAATGTGGGAATTAGCACAGAGAAACATGAATTCTACCATTACCCTACCAGGTAAACAAACACAAGTTACCATTTCAGTCCTGATTCTCTTACCTGTACCCTCCTTATAGAACTGTTTTGAGGATCATATGCAATGATACGTGTAAATGAACTATGAAAACAGTAGATCCTTATCAGAATCAGTTATCTACTTAGTCACCAAGAAGAAAGGGTTGAGGGAAGCAGTAAAACAACAATTCCATTTCTGGTCAGGGAGACAAGTCTTAGCCAGTATGAGATCAGAAAGAAGTAAAGGCATATGCTCTGGCACACGGAAGCAGCAGTGGTAGCTGAGGCCAGGAATAGAGAAGGGAATCATACATCCATGTGTTAATGTAAATGTTTTGAGAATCCCTACTGGAGAAGGTCAGAGGAAGATAGTATCTATAGCTTGGTGGCTATGATTGTACTTTAAAGACGTCCTTTAAGAGAAGTTCCTGTACCCTTGGGATATTATTAGCTGGAAATGGCAAGTACAGACTTTTAACAGAAGGGAAACAGATCAATAATATCCATTTTCACATTCGCCTCCCATCATCTACTAACCAAAACTGGGACCCATTCAGTCTCTTTCTCTGAAGCAGTTCTCACTCTCACTCAGGGAAAAGCCCTGACCCAGTGGACTACTCGGCTAGTAAACATTTACCGTTTGTTCCAATATTACAGGGTAGGGGCTGAGGGCAGGCTACCCCAAGATGTGTCACTTTGATATGCAGACTATGTCCAGCTGAAACAATCAAAGCCCAAAACTAAGAAAGAAACTTTGACCTTCCCCTAACATGCCTAAAAGAATGTAGAGGGCCTGCTGCAGGAGGAGAGCTATCAACCATAGACAACTACATTATAATATGAACCAGGGGTGGTAGACAGGGAGGCATGCGGCAAAGTCTGTTAAAATTCCTCCACTGTTACTGGGTGGCCCAGCAGACACTTGTTTACCAAACATTTACTCTTTCCTATTCCTGGGATTTGCTTCCCTTTTCCTTTAAAGTCCGAGACCCCTACCCTCTTCTTCTTAGTTCAGGATGACGTATACCCTCATTTTCCCCTGTCTATGTAATTTATGTCTATGGATTCCCATACATATGTAATTAAACTTTGTGGTTTTCTTTTTTCATCCTGTAAATTTATCTAATGTTAATTCGATTCTTAGACCAGCTAGAAGAGCTTGAAGGTAGAAGAAAATTCTTTCTCCCCAACACTAGGAATAGCCAAAAAGTCCATGCAAGATTCAGGCAAGTATCCTAACCCTCAGTTACTACTTTGGGTGAAATAGAAGGAATCAGTAAGTACATAGAATATACCTTCAAATAATCTTCTCTCTGGTTCACTCCCAATATTCAGTATTTTCTAGGTACACTGCCATTATAGAACTTGATAAAATGTTTATATTTAAGATACAGGTATATAGGTATATAGTTTTGGGGATGGTAGAGATTGCAAAGGAATGTAACACCTAACTCATAGACTTATCATTTTGGTCAATGAGGTATAAGCATAAAATTGTTGCTGCTTTTTTTTGGTGGGAAAGTTGGATCAGGGGTGAATTCAAATATCTAAAAAAAGCAGAAGCTACCTTTAGGCCACATGGGCCACATGCTAAGAATACCGGCACAGAGGAACAGGAAAGGTCTGGGTCCCTAACGGTGCTGCTGACCCAAAGTACCAAAGTACCACTCAAGGACTGTTTACCTCTGGACTTCCTGTTACCTGAGGAACCCCCTTCTTTCTCAAGTCACTGTGAATAGTTCTCTGTTACTTGCTGCAGAACACAAACTAACTGATACCACTAAGGACAATTTAATCTCTCAAGGAAGAGAAAGCAATGAAGAAGGGAACGCTCGGTCTGTGTCCAACAGTCCTGATGTTGACCAGTTAGCAGAGTTAGATGCCCAGCTGGCACTCAAATAGTTAAAATCCTGCTATTCTGACTTGATTAGGCGAATAAGGAAAAAATAACTTAATGAGAAATGTGTTCTATGAGGACTGGTCAGTTAATTCTGAAAATCTATCAGAGAAACAAGTCTTCTCCCAAGCTCAGACACAGCCTCAAGATCTTTTGATTTTTATAATAAAATGATATATAGAGAATTAACTTGAAATGTTATGCAACCATAACTTTAAGACTAATTTATAGCAGTGCTGACATTTCTGGAATTATAAATCCAGTTTAGAAACATGAGTAAATTCATGCTTCAAATAAACCTAGAATTAGTGGTTTAGGCACATGAAGTCACTAATTTGTTACATTTGGTTTGATTTTCAGTGTTTTTAACCAACAAGACATATCTTCTCCAACGTCATGTCATTTTAGAGGATCGATTTTAAAACCACCCTCTAATTTCAAAGTACAGGAATATTCAAGTGTTGTTTTCCCCCCACATTAACGTTACATGTAAGGCACACACAAATATACTTACATTTATATTTTCAATGTTTCAGGTAAATTAACAAAAGCCACTTACCACACAGCTCTCACTGTTATCAGTCCTGTGAGGCAAAATGAAAGCTAAGGTGTCTAAATTTTCACACTGTGTGGGAGTTTGGGATGCATTTTTACAACTTGTTAGCACAATGAAGAAGTGAGTTGGAATCAGAATTTCTTGACTACGTATGAGTCTGATGTTCCTGTAAAATATGGCAACATTCAGTTTAAGAATGAAACTATCGTCTTTTACTGAATATTTCAGTAAAGCATATTTTTAATACAAATCTAAAGTCAGTCAAATTGTTAAATGTACTGTAAGAAGTTAGTAATCATAATATCCCAACATATTCTGCCATATTGAGTGTAAAAATCTGAAGACAGATAAGACAACTCAAGTAATTTACATTTTCTATTGGAATTTGTTGAATTTGAGGGGTTTTTTTGTTTTTTTTTTTTAGTTCTGCCTTAACATACTGGAGTTGAGACACAAAGGCAAAAATATTTTTTAATAACTACAGACAAGATTCTAAAGCACCATTGACAGTCTATTAAACTCTGTAGTGTGCAGACAGTACACAGAAAGAGGACTGGTTTGGGATTTTTTTTTACTCCAAATCCTTCACAGAATCATGCTGCTGTGAATTCTCCTTTGTCTGAACTGGATCTTCTTTTCTGTCCAACAATGTTGTTAAAAATCGCAGCACATTCTCAAAGATGTCCCAAGCAACATGTTACACCCCATCTTAATTCTCGTTTCCTTTGGTTTCAAAGCTAGGTTAGTTTGCTTTCAGTGTGTTTCAAAATTTAAGGTAGTGTGATCATTGTTTTCAAATATAATCTTATGTAGAACCATAATACATAAAACAGATTAAGATGCTCCAGTTGAAACTGTGAATGGGAAAGGTATGAAGTTCTCTGCTTTAGCCATTCTATTGCTGTGACCTATATGGCAGCTACATGGGACCTTTATGCTTGAAGGTATAAAGTAAAAACGCTGTGTTTTACAAACTGATGTAGTTCAGAGATATAAATATATGTGTAAACAGTAATCCCCAAGTCAGGACATTAGTTGTCAGAAAGGGGCTGGATCTCAGCAGAAGTTTCAGTCTCTTTTGCTTATAGCCTTAAAAGCAAAACTGCTTCAAAAAAATCTTGCCATTTTTTTCTTCATTCTCTACTGGCAGTATGCTAGTTAGGCCAGTTATCTTAATCTGTTACACATAGAGATTTTAAACACCGATGCTCCTTTGTTAACACATGTATTTAATATGAGCTCAAGAATTACTCATCTGAGCTGAGTTGGGGAGAAACACTACTTTGGTGATCTAAAGAATATTTTACTGAATACTGAGCAAAACATCAAAATTAATCAGATATTCAAGGGGGTGCCAGTGTAATCAGAAATGTCACATATATAAATATGAATGGTACTAGACAGAAAAGGTTCTGCTGACTCAATTGGACAGTCATCTCTCTTGACAGCTGTTTTTAAGAGAGAATAAAATACGTTCTTACTGCTTCAGAGTCTCTGATGCATCGTAACGTCCATCATAATCGGAGTCAAACACGGGGCCGCTGATAACATTGACGCCGTTTCTTTCTTGAGCATACCTTTGCAGGAGGGTGCCGTGGAAGTAGCGCCATATAACTGAAATAGAAAGGATGACAGTGTAGTTGCAAAAGAACAGGGTGCCAAGCTGCCATGTGAAATACATGAATACCACGATTCAAAATGAGCATTTGTCGTAATTAGAGATGAAGTCAAGTTTGGCTTCAGTTTTAATGTGAAGCCAAAAGAAAAAAAACAGTGTTCAGCTTGAGCCTTTGCAAGGACTAATAAGAAAATGTTGAATTTAACTCTATTTCAGGCATCCCTGAACACGGGCATTATCAGGAACTCGTGACCACCTATCACCATTAAGCAAAGAAAGATTATGAACACAAACAAGGCAGATTATTCAGATTTAGTTACTATGTAATAGTCACAGGTATTCTAGATATAAATTAAAGAAAAAATCTTGTATGATCTATACTTTGAAGTTCTTGCAATCACTTACAGTATAAATGTATATTTATACTTGTAAGAGCCAAATGCTGCAATAATTAGTAATGATGTAAAATCTATTCAAGATCAAAAATATTTATCACGAACTTCCAAAAAAGTTAAATAGAGAAACAGTGGATAGTTGGCATAAATGTTAGTAGATGGTATTAGCTAGATAACTCAGGAAGAACACTACATACTTTTCCTCTCAAAAATGTTTATAGGGAGGTGGAGCCAAGATGGCGGCGTGAGTAGAGCAGTGGAAATCTCCTCCCAAAAACACATAGAGCTATGAAAATATAACAAAGAAAAATCTTCCTAAAATAGAGACCACAGGACACAGGACAACATCCAGACCACATCCACACCTGCAAGAACCCAGCGCCTTGTGAAGGGGGT